ACCCGATCTCCGACAGGGAGATTGATACATTCCATCCCTGGTCTCTGGTCTTAAGTCAATAATTGCATTATTAAGTTAAAGTTTTCGAATGTAGATTGATATGCGCTGTGGAATATAAGGTAAATATGTGATGATATGATTAAAACAAATAGAAGTTGAACTTTCTGGTTCGACTAAAGCCGCAGCAATTAGTAGATATTTCTGACTAAAATTTGCTCATTTTTGAGAGCCTTTATATAGTTCCAGTAATATAGAGATTTACCTGCGCTTGTGAAAAACTATTTTGAATAACAACGGCCAGAGATCGTTTAGCTGAGCCGAATACATTTGAAGAAGGGGTAGTGCACGACACTAAAATTCTTCCTTGGCCATCCCATCACAAAAGGCTCTTTAACTCACAAATTTCACAGTGATCTCCACCATAACCAACTGGACAATCGCATAACGGTCTTCCATTACCGGGGAACTTCTCTACAACACCTCCGTTGAGACAGACTGGTATGGCGCAATTTCGTCCCGAGAATTGTTCAGTGCAACGGCATGTGCCAGTACCAGCTTTAGTGCCTCCATTCAGGCATGTGAAAGGACTTGGAGTGGGATGATCTGACATTAAAAAATGTATAAGAACAGAAAAGAAGATTTTACAGTGCATAAATTGACATATTTGCTCACCACACATTCAATTCAATAATAAAAAGAAGTAAAATCTTAGAAATATAAAATTTGTTTGGTTCTTGGTCTCCGAAACTAATAATTGTCTGTTTCAAGTCCAAAAATGGGTCTGTGTTTCGGTTACGCAATATGGAGGTACAGATAGGTTCTGCCTATCTAACCACTCATAAATGAGTACTCATCAAACATTTTTTTTTCAGAATTCAATAATAAAATTTCTTACAACAAACCTGGTTGAGCGCAAAAACCTGGAATCAAGCGCGTCACGCTTGAAGTACCATTTAATACGGTAAGTTCTTGCCTGCAAAATAGTAATCCAAAAAGATTATCATTCAGGATAATTTACAGTAATACTTTGGGCTTTAAAGCCCGACTATGCTCTATTCTCTGAAGATGGCACGTGGGCCAATGGCTGACCATTACACGCGTTGCACCGTCGCATACGCGCTAATCGATTAGTATGCGCGTAGGCGGGTGCGGTGCGTAAAGCCCACGTGTCAGTTCTCGTCACATAGACCGTATGTAAGCAAAACTTGATGATTTATCATACTTTCGTCTCAGATTCCTCAATTTTTTAAAGATACTAAGCGTCGGAAACAATTAAACTTACACAAATGGACCAAGTGCACAGCTTCCCTTTGATGCGGGGAATATGTATGGATACGTGCATTCAGAGTCTCTGCTTAAATTTCCATTAGTTGCTTGAGATATTAGTGCTCCTTTCAAATCATAGGAGGCCAAAGTCAGAGAAGAGGGAGTAAGACCAGCAAAATATGCGGTTGTATACAAGTTTAGCTCTGAAACAACAAAGTCATGGCAAGTTATTGGCGAAAGAGTTGTTAGTTAAAACCTACCAGAAACACTAACAGCGCTACCCACGTCAACCATCGGATCTGGGTTAGATGCCAGAAAAGCAGTGTTTGGAGAGTTGATCCAAATACGGACATTGGTGCTTGATGACTTCTT